AAGACCTCCTAGATAGGGGCTAGGATCTACTCTAGTATTACCCAGGCCTAATCCAGGACCTAGTCCATCCCCTAGCAGACTAGGGTAAGGATATAGTTATGCTAGTCCTACTATGCCTACTAGTTAGATATAACTATAGGGGGTAAATCTAAACTTAAATCCCCTAGGCTACCACCTCTACCCTAAAGCACCTATAGTGCTGGCAGGGCCTGGGGGGTATAAGGTATTCTAGCTATATAGATAAGACCTAGGAGGGAGTATTAGTAGAAGAATTAGGGCTACTTAGTAAAGAGTAGCTATAGAGTAGTATTATCCTACTAGTAATACTTAGTATTAAAGAGGAAGAGGGAGGGCCTAGAGGGGTTTATAGTCTTTATAGCTATATCCCCTAGACTAACTCTAGGGTATAGTATATACTATTTAGCCTTTAGGATCTACTACTCCTAGGTAAGGGTAGTCTACACCTAGCTAGATAGTATAGGGGACCCTATAAAGTAACTTAGATAATGGCCTGCCCTAGCTACTAAGGGGGAAGAAGATAGCAGAGGTAGGGATAGAGCTAATAGAGATAGTAATATAAGGATAGTACTACTACTATATATATATATAGTAGTAGTAGTCTAGGTAGGGTCCTACTTATTAAGCTCCCTTTCTAGATCTTCTTACTAAGCCCTAGAAGGAGATATACTAGTAGTAGTCCCTAGATAGTCTAGCTTATCATCCTCCTAGATTAATCCTAGGTCTATAGCTAGGGCTATTACCCTCTCCCCCTCCTCCTCCTTAGCTACTAGCCCTAGGCATAGTAACCTATTATTATTCTAGTATAGATAGTACCTACTAGTAGTTTTAGGCTCTATATCTCTCTTACTACTACCTAGAAGTATATTATCTTAGTAATAGAGGGTGGCCTAGGTATAGGATAGCTTAGGTAGGCTTTAGCTTAGGATTGTAATTAAGGTTAGGATGGTTAGGCTAGTCTATAGGGTTAGACTAGTTATCAGGCTAGTTAGGCTAGTAGAGATGGCTGGGCTAGTTAGGATAGCTAGGCTAGTTAGCAGGGTTAGGCCAGTTATTAGGCTAGTTAGGCTAGTTAGGCTAGTTAGGCTAGTCAGGCTAGTAGGGATGGTCAGGCTGGTTTAGTTAGCTAGGCTAGCTAGAGGGGTTAAGGTCAGGGCCATAGCTATAGTAGGGGTCCTAGTCTACTAGCAGCTGGTTAAGGTTAAGGGGTCTAATTAGGGGGCTATAGATGAGGCTAGGCTTTACTAGGTAGGCTGGCCAGGCTGTGCTTACAGCAGCCTAGGCTGGGTTAGGCTTAGGGGCTGGGTGGGCTAGGTGGGCTAGGTAGGCTAGGTAGACTATATTAGCTATATACTAGGGACCCTAATAATCTAGTAGTAGATATAATAGCTATTAGTAAACCAGGCCTGTGCCTTAACCTGCCAGGGCAGCAGCAGCTAGTGGACCAGGGGGTGGTCCTAGTGGTGGTACTCCTAGACCTAGCAGGTACTATGGTTTAGGAAGGTCCTATAGGTGCTATAGCACTAGATATAGTAGATTAGAAGCTAGGTAATTAGCTTACTACTATAGTAGTAGGGCATGGACCTGCAGGTGATAGGCCTGGGCTGGGAGGTAATAGGTTTCCTGTAGGTATTAGTTAGCTAGGTGGCTAGGGACTGTGACTATACAGATCTAGTAGATGATGGCCTAGTGCTTAGGGAGGTAGTTATAGAGTGGTGGTGCAGGTATGATTATTAGTATTATAGTAGTTAGGGTAATTAATTAGTCTAAGGGAATAGATAGTCTTATTTTTATAGTTTAGGGGTTCAGGGGTTTAGGGCAGGAAGGGGAGGGGCAGTATATATAGTATACTAATTATATTAGTTATAGCCTTATAGGTTAATTTAATTTAATTTTAATTAGATAATTTATAGGATGGGGGATGGATGATTAAATTAATTAATTACTTATAAATAGTGTATGCCCTAGTTAGATTTAATTCTATTCTATTCTATTTAGATTTCAGATTTAGTTTGATTTGATTCAGGGTCAGGGTCAATTTAATTAATTAATTAATAGGTGATGGGGGGGAAGGAAGGAAGAAGGGAAGAAGGGAAGAAAGAGCTAGGAAAGAGCTAGGTAGGAAGAAAGAGAAGAAGGGAAAAAAGAGGAAAGAGAAGTAGGTAGCCTTCTAGGCCTTATCTCTTTACTTATTCTAGTTTATTATAATATTTTAGACATCTTTTATAGGACAGGTACTTACTAGTATAGACTAATCTAATTAATTATACCTAATCTATTAATTAGCCTATATTGTTGCTGGCTGGTGCTGGTGTAGATCTAATTAGCCTATATTCTAGCTAGTGGCTACTATTAGTTGCAGGGAGTATGGTGACTAGGCTTAGGGCATTACTAGTAGTTCTGGTTAGGGGGCCCTAACTATATAGCTAAGGTAGGTTACTATGCTAGTATATAGTGCTATTTATTATATAGTGGTGTAGTAGTATAGGTGTGGGTAGTATAGACTACCCTATATAGTTTATATATTAGGTGCCCTGGGGCTGGATCCCTATAAAAAGTACCTAATAGGGCTAATAATAATATAATATATAGCACCCTAGGGCCCTCTAGATAGATAGGAGCTGGTTTATTAGCCTCTAGGAGGGACACTAGCATGGAATAAGATGGTGCCAGGGGTATTATAGGATATAGGGTATATAGAGGGGGGTTAGGATAGTGGCTACTAAGGTTAGGAGGTAGTAATATATATCTCTATAGTTTAGGTATATCTCTAGGGTAGGAGCTAGCACACCTAGCAGGAACTATCTTAGAAACTATAAAGCTAGGCTAGATTATAGCCTAGTTAGGGGCCCTACCTAGATACTTATGCACTGCTAGTATTAAATCCAGGAGCCTAGGGTATAGTATGGCAGGTAGGGCACCTAGCCTTAAGGGCAGCAGGGGCTGGATCCTAATAGGTATAGGGGGATTTAAGCACTATATAGGTGGTGTAGCTAGTGTAGGCTATAATCTAGGAATAGTAGATAAGGTAACTAATATAGGGAGGTCATGATCAGGGGCCTATGAGGGTGGGCAGGGGGTGTCTAGGGGTGATGTTATCACCAGGCAGGGGGCCTATGGGAAGGCACAGGAAAGCAGCTGATGACAGCAGTGGGACCCTATATATAGGAGACTAACTACTTTTAAATTTCTATTATATTTCTTTTACCCTAAATAACTCTACTAAACCTTAATAGTTTTTAGTAATAGGACTATTATTAGATTACACTCTTTAAGCTCTATTAAATAGTGTAGATTTTATTAAGATTAGCTATGGTTATGGTGGGGACCTGAACCCATGACTCCCTATATAGAATAAGATAAAGGAAAATAATAAGTTATAAAATAATAGAATTATAAGATAGAGAGAATATTAAATTATAAAAATAATAGGATTATAAATAAAAGAAGATATTAATAAAGCTATTTAATTTAGATAAAGAATTACTAAATATATATAAGAAACTATTTAATAAAGGGAAGTAAGACCTATAAATCTAAACTATTATTAGCTTAATCTATTAAACTAATTACTTAATATAGAATTTACTATCTAAAATTAATTATTTAGCCGCTAGATATAGGCCAGAGAGTAATAAATAGAGTAAGGAAGCTATAAAAAATAAAGAAGAATCTATATTATTAAACTAATTAGGAGATCTTACTAAGCAGGCATCTTAATAGTATTAATAAGAGAAGAGAAGAAGAAGAAGTTCCCTAGAGATCTATAAACCTACTTATATTATAGGAAATATAATATATCTTTATAGATCTGTAATAATTACTATTAATTATTTACCTATAATAGAGCTAAAATAAATACTATAACCTATAATAGTAATAGAATATATTATCTACTAAGGAGAGATTTACTCCTATATTTTAAATAGAGTTGCATTTAGTGCAAGTTCAGGTAAGTTTAAAACCAGTTAGCACCAAACTACTGTAATTTCAAGTTTAAATTTTAGAACCCACAGCCAACCCAGATCCAATCTGGGTTAGTGGTGGTTTCACCATAAAAACCTGCCACTAGGCCTAGCTAGGCCTAGCTAGGCCCCTACTAACTAACCATGGTTAGATTTAGTTTGATTTTAAGTTGGTTAAACCACTACCCCTTGGTGAATTTTGATGGTTTTTGAATTTCAATGCCTCATTAAATGCCATATTATCTATCATAATATCACTATACTAATCAAAAATTATTATTTTTATATGAAATATATTATAATTATCATCATACTAATCTATATCTAAAATTTTAATTCAATATCTATAGGGCTGAATGGGGGGTGGTTAAAAATGATTTTTTAACCATGGTGGTTATTAACTATTAGTTGCATATATATATATATATCTACACCACTTTCATACCACCCTATGATGAAAATGATTATTCCTCTATATCTTAACAACCACTAGGTATTTTAAATTAATATTTATATCATTAGATAGCCTAGATCAGGGGCTATCTAATGATATTAAAAATATCAGAAGATCCCTAGAAATGACTAATATCTAGGTAAAACAGATTGGGCGGTTTCACCTAATCTGCAAAAACTGTAAAAACCATAACTGATGGTTTCCCCTAATGGATTTGATTTAGTGCTAAGAGAAATTGAAACCAGTGTGGTTCCCTAGGCTAGGCACCGAACCTGAACCACTCTAGGTTCAGTGAGGTTCAGGTTCGATTTTTGCAGTTCGGTTATGCAACTCTAATTTTAAATAACTATAGAAAGATAATATTAACCTAGGAAGGTGAAGCCCTTTATATTTCTAAATTAGGAAGTATTATAGCTTTAAGGGTGAAGTATATAAGAAAGGAAGGTAATTATTAAGGGCTATAGTAAACTATAAAGCTGCTATATATAGCTAATACTAATAGTATAGAGGGTTTAGACCTAGCAGATTATATAATCCACTATATATATCTCTATAATTAGCTGAGTATTCTATAACTTAGTAATTAGTTCTCCTTACTTAGGTAATATATGGATATTTGCTCCCTCCACGCTGATCTTACTAGTTGATATCAACCCTTAGTAGGCGATCTTACAGTGGACCAGGACTTTTACTATAAAAGAATTAGAGTTTTAAGAATGCCTTTGCTTGAATATTACCATGATTTATAAAATAGGATGTGCGGTTCTGCTTTGTGGGTTTCTAGGACCGCCATGATGATTTCTTAATAGCAACAGGTGGAGGCGCCCATATCCGGCAGTCAGAGGTGAAATTTTTAGATTTGCTACACGAACTGCCGCCAAAGCATTTAGCAAGGATGTTTTTATTGGCCTGGAAATGAATGTAATTTGGGAAATTCAAGATGATCAGATACCATCATAGTCCTAACCAAATTTTCATAAACACACGAACCAGGGATCAGGCTTCTTTTCTATCAGGATCTCCCTTGGCATTTTCAAGGAAACAAAGTTTCGGGATCTGGATGCTAGACTGGGCTAGGTCTAGGAGACTAGGACCATGAGATCATTAGTTACCAAGGTTCCATTAGATGTAATGACATCAATGCTAATAAAGAGTACCATGCCTTATAATCATTACTATTGCCTACCTTTCTTTCTTACTTTAACGAACGTGATCGTTACAAAGGCTACATGGGTGGGAACCCAGCTAATACCTCAACAGAAGTGACATACCTAAAGTCTTAAATTACATTGCCTTATTCACAAATTATGATTTTATTGTGACATATATAATAAGGGTTAGAGTAAGTACATGAGAGTGCGCTCTAAAACGGTCTTTGAAGTTTGGAGTTTGGACTATAGAGATAATTTTAGCATAATGAATTCAGAATGACCTTTTCTATAATGACCAACCATGATGTGCATATGTAAACTCATTCTCTAATATGGCAGCTCATAAGCTTGTCACATGACTTACTCTAATATCTAAGATCTATGATAGTGTAGATCTAGATTGTACTGAAGTTTAGAATTTCCACACCTTCACTGTCCTGCATCCATCTCCACTAAATAACCTCTCCTTTATGATGGAATGCGATCCACCGGTGAGCAGCACATGATTCATCCATACCTCTGGTTAGAATGCTGATTGGATTGGAAATCAATAAAATGACACTGTCAGTGCAGATGCTACTATCACAGTACTTCCAAGTAGCCGAATCAGACAACAACTGAGTATAGTCCTCCTTAGTAAGATTAAATTATTAGAGACTTTAGTAGTACTGCCTACTAGTTAAAGTATATAAATAAGAGCCCTTAATCTCTTTATTTAGATAAATAAAGTTAGTACTAGAATATAAACATCCCTATAGCACAAGTTAATGAGCCCTTAACTAGCCAACTTGAGGCTGCTGCAACCTGTCCGAACTAAAACTGGAGTAAAAATGTTGTTTCTGGCTGTGTTAATTGCAACTATGCTGAAACAGTGACATTTGATGGTTTCACACGCCCATTTACTACTATATCAGGCGCATGTCCTCCTACCTGATATGAAACCAGAGATTGGTATGCACAGAATATCCACTATTTATTATTTTCCAGGGGTGAGTTTATAGCGTCTTTCCTTATTCTTTATGGTGACCCTGGCTGTTTTTGAATTTGCTGCATTTTGTTTACCTTATGAAAAGATTTGAAGTCCTTATGCTCCTTCATATTCTGTTGCTGATATAAATTGCTGGTTTGGTTAAGATAACTGGGCATGGCTTCCCCCTCTTGTTATACCTTCCCTATATATCAAATTGATCAACTGCTGATCTACTGTCTGTGTTATCTAGATATTAGGAAGGTTCATTTCAGATCGCAGGGCTACACATGTGCTATTGTTGAAATCAGGATTATTACATGATTGACCAAGTGGGACAATCTGGATGAGCCGGCCTGATGCAGTTTGATTCAGCTGGTCCCAGTCCTTAACTGATGGCCAGCATGGTTCGTCGGGATAGCAGCGGCAAGACGTAAGCAGTGCAGCGCTGGTCCCATGCAACAATGACAAAGTAAAGATAGGAAGACCGATCCATTGTGTGACTAAGTGGATTTGTGGATGTGAATTATAAATAACCAGTGCAAGCGCCGTTCTTGCGCAAGTTCCATCAAGCTTTGTTAAATATTGTTCAGTTTGTATTCATTGAAGCCGGGCTGAAGTCCGGAAGATCGTCCGCCTACCCGCTCCACCTGAGTACATTTAGACATAAGCAGAAATATAATAAATTAAGGGACGCCAAAAGAACTTTGGATCATCAAACCATCCGTTTTAATAAAAGACAATAAGATGGAATACACAAGGTAGGGTTATATCTCTCAAAGAGTCTCATCGAGTTGCTAACGCATGTGGTTGCCATAGAGTAGGCGACTCGGGCCTCTACGTGTCGAAGATTATCCTCGGGACAGCCAGCTACGGATCCCCACGCTGGCAGGAATGGATCTTGAATGAGGAGGCTGCGTTGCCTTTACTGAAGCATGCTTACGACATGGGCATCAATACTTGGGATACGGTAGCCTCATCAGCTTTGGCTTTCCTTGACGAGTTCTTGACATTGATTGCTTTCTCGATTGCAGGCTGATGTGTACTCCAACGGTCGGTCAGAAGAGATTATTGGCAAGGCCCTGCGTGTCTACAACATTCCTCGAGAACAGGTGGTGATCCTGACTAAGATCTTTTATGCGCTCGACCCGGACGGCCAGAGTCCTATCGCGGCTTTGATGGACAAAAAGGAACAAGGCTTGGTAAACAGAGTTGGCTTGTCACGCAAACACATCATGTCCGCTGTCGCGGAGAGTATGGAAAGGCTGGGTACGTACATTGACGTCTTGCAGATCCACCGACTAGACCGTGATGTCAGCCTCATGGAAACAATGAAGGCATTGAACGACGTGGTCGAAAGCGGCCAAGTGCGGTATCTCGGAGCAAGCTCGATGGCGACATGGGAGTTTCAAAAGCTGCAGAACATAGCGGAGCAGAATGGGTGGCACAAATTTATCTCTATGCAAAACTATTATAACCTCCTCTATCGCGAGGAGGAGCGAGAAATGATTCCCTTCTGCCGGGATACTGGAGTCGGAATTCTACCATGGAGTCCCCTCGCACGTGGGGTGCTGGCCCATCCATGGACAGAGAGAGAGACTGCTCGCGAGCAGACAGATAAGCTACTCCAGCGCCTGGTTCGGAGCCACGAGACTTTCGAAGACAAGGAGGTGGTGGACCGAGTGACTGAAGTTGCGGCCAAGAGAGGTGTCAAGATGGCGATTGTCGCTCTGGCCTGGTGTCTCCGGAAAGGACTGTGTCCGATCACGGGCCTAGGAAGCACATCGCGCATTGATGACGCAGTTCAAGCTGTAACGTTCCAATTATCAGATGACGAGGTCAAGTACCTAGAAGATCCATACCGACCGAAACCAGTTGTGTATTGATTATGATAAGCAAAAACCGCTGGACTTGTTCTGAGCAAGCGATTAGTTACTCAGGAACTCACCTTTATGTTTTGCATGATAAATTTGTTTTGTGGCGAACTTAGTGGTGTTTAACCACTGAGTATCAGCATATTAGAAGGTATTTCAACCTGCCTTAGAATGCATGCTTGTCTCGTCAACCAATCAACTCTTCCATCATGAATCAGTTCTGTTTGATCTCATTCGCCATATATGGATGCTAGTATATACTGTTTTAGCTTGCTCTGATATATACAATGCGCCCTAGACATTTTGAACACACCTATAACTATTCAATTTTGCCTCAGCGTCATTACTATACATTACCGCAGCAACCATATTACTTTATTTATATATATATACCGCTATCAACTACATTCTGTAGCATCATGCACCATAAGAACCCGCTCTCTTCCTTCAATTCTCGTCCTCTATGGTCAATTTAATACTCTCATATTGTGCCCAGCCTATTATACCTTGTAGTAGCACATTCCATGACCAATTTTTCTACAGTCTCAGCACTTGGATGGCCCTTTCTTAATAATCTTTTGGCCTGACCTTTTGTTGCTTTGCTGTGATATATGATATCTAGGTTTGAGCTCTTTGGTGGCGGCGATGGAGCAAGTTCTTAATTATCTACTTCTAAATACTGTGCCTACTAACTTAAATATAATCTTTACTTATACAGATAGATTTTATAGTTTCTACTAGTTAGGCCATAGTCTTTTAGATAGTCAAGTGCTCTATAAGATCTATATATCTAAAGTATATAGAAAATATACTGAACCTATTATAAAGATTAAAATAGAAAAAGAGTAGAGTACTCTATATATAGGTAGGAATAGTTAGAATAGCAGGATAGGTAGCTATCACCCGCCAGAATTTTTACTATAGGCGCATAGCTGAAAAATGTGGAATGAGGCCCAGTCCAGGGCAACCTTAGACAGTAGTGATAAGTTGATCTTAGAGCATTATCCAGACATATGAGTAAATCTGGCGGTGATCTGGATGATAAGAGGCTGGCTACCTTTGAGATAGGGTTGTTTGGGTGGCCCATTCAAACGTGTGGCCACTTAGCCGTAAATTACGTTAACTTTGCCTTTGGCCTGCCGCCTACCTGCGACACGCCCTCATGGGGAAGCGACGAGGGTACGTCACTAAGTAAATCGTTCATCAAGACAGTACTGACAAGGATCCTGCGGAAGTGAACGCTGCTGATGCCTTCATAAGAGAAGCTGGTCTGAGGGAATCAGGTGGTGATGGACTACCTTGCCTGGTGCCCTGGTCATCCGAGGCAATCGTGCAGTCAAGAGCCATAATACCAGAAGTGCTTTTAAATACATTCCATATGTTTGAACTACAGTAGGAGATAGCAAGGAACCGCTGAGAACCTTCCACTAAACGCGGATGCCCGGCCTGATAGGTGGAGATCCGGAAATACTGGGGATGCAAGATTGCCCTGTTGTCTGAGTTTGGTCAAACGTGCCATGTGATGAACAGCTTTCATCCTCTATTGCGGACCCTCAACCGGTCCAGAAAACTACTGAAACAACCTTGATGCATGGTACGGCTCTCATTGAGAGAGAATAGCTCGCGGCTGCTTGTTGACACCTTACCAATCAGCAGCCCAAAGATGCACCGCTGATCTGTTCTTGAAGAAAGGCTTCATTTACGCTTTGTCTACGCTGGAGGCGGCACCGGTGACAGATCCACACCTCTTGGCAAAATGTAGAAAGAAGTTGTCCTATTTTCCTTTTCATGAAATGTTACAGACAAACTAGGGAGGGCCGGGCTCTGTGTGATCTTCTTTGAAAGCTCCTCCTGCTCTGCGAAGAGTTCGGCCATTCATATATATATATATATACTTTATTTTTTTATTTTTTATTTTTACCCTCTCAGAGGCCTGAATTTTGCAACCTGAACCTCAAAGTTTCAAATGCAGCATTGTCGGCAATGGAAGTTGACGGGTTCTGTCCGTCGGGTGTATTCGCTTGGATCTAGGATAGGAATTAGCTCCCAGCAATCATGAGAAAAAGAAAGGTGGAAAGGGGTTTTTTGGGGGGGGAGGAGAGGAAAGAAAGAAAACAGAAAAAAAGAGTAAGGGAAGCAAAATGAAGAAAATCAATGCTGGATGCTAATTCCTCGACCACTCAAGATAACATACCAAAGCTTTCGTATACGGCATTGAGAGGCCTTTCACATTGACATAGTGAGCGTAACCGGCTTCCCAGATCGGTCGTATGGGTGTCATTCCTGATGATGAAATGGCCGGCCACGGGCCTCCTAACAGGTTTGCATCACATCGAACGAAACTCTCGTCGTAGGGTACGGATCCTCCCATCAAATACTTGGCGGTATATTCCAAGCCAGACAAGAGCCTGTTGTCCAACTCCGCAAATAGGTCTTGGGGGTCGTACTGGTTTGTAGTTACCTGAAATGCCTCTACTAGGTTGCCAAGCCCGAGTTGAGTGTGTTGTTGATCTCGACCGCTCTCTGAAGCTTGACCGGTAGGCGAAATGGTACCTGATAAATTGGCACACGATGAATAGAGGATTAACTCTTTAGCATAGTCGTATAGCGTGGTGTTCTCCGTAAAAACCGCTGCAGCGAGCATAAATTTCTCCCCACTCGTGCCCCAGTTTGCTTCAAAAGGGTATGCTACGGCTGCTGTCGTGTTAGTAAGGGATGCAGGGGGTACCAGGATATCCTGTACCATTGTTGAAAACGCAGAAATAGAATCACTTGTCCAGCCGTTGGGATAAGACGACGATGGGTATGTGTAGCGGATAATTTCTGCTGCATTAACCAGCTGGCTTCCAGAGAGGGCAGCCGCGAGTTGACCGTCGGTGCCTACAAAACGTTATTCTCTCACTTTTTTGTAGCATCAAGCGCGCGTTAATGGGTGTCATACCATTTACCACTTTCAAGGTTCTACCCCAAGCGTCCAAGATCTGTGTCGCCTTGGTAGCATAATCCTCATTTGCAGTGATATACCACATGAGCGCTAACTGTAGCGCAGCTGTGCTATCACTCGCGAATTGATCCATGCACACTATCAAACTTGCATCTTTATCTCTGGTGACGACAGGACATGCCGCTGTAAACGAGTATGATAATGAAGAGTGTGAGTCTGCAGAAAATACTTGGTATGCTTCATACCAAGGTTGACTTTGAGATCCAACAAGGGATCTCATACGATTCAGATCTGCAGTAGTGTGAAGTATACCAGGATGGACCCACGCTGTAGTCAGGGCAGCAAAAGTGGTGATGCACAAACCTAGTAAGAGGAGCATTTTGAACAGCAAGGACCCCTTTAACTAGAGGATAGTTGACAAAGTGCAGAAAACCCTCCAGCTGAGGTTTTTTTTTGAAGAAAGGGACAGCATAAATTATAAGGTTTTATAGAGAAATCATGTGGCGTGTTTCCGTGCGAAAGTGAAGGCTCTCGGAAGGACCCATTTTGGCGCTGAGATTAAGGTTCAGCGGAATGACTCGAAACGTCGACTGGAGAGATACTTCGGCTCGGGAGTGCCCTAACAGAAATTAATATGCGGAGCAATTAGCGGAAGAGCGAGAGTTCTTCAGAAACCAAATTTCGTTGAAATCAATTTATCCAAGTTTGATGATCTGCAGACTGTTGTTCTTTTTCGATCGCGAGGATTTTAGAATCGTCGGAAGGTTTCCGGGACTTGGCCCGGTCCTTCGGTAAGAAGGCTGGGTTATTTGCTCTGAGCATTTGCAGATCCTTGAACTTTATCATCTTAGAAAACAGCGGGTGCAAGTTTCCAGGAGCAGATACAGGAGTTAGATGATCAGAGCAAGGTAAGCAAAAGGCGTGGGTAACTATAGAGTAATCATGGGGCGAATACAAAATCCACCAATGCACGAAAGCGAGACACCTGCAACGGCCACATATCTGAAACAGCTCCGCGGACCGACAGTTACCCCAAGGGAACATTGACGTATGCGATTCCCCTGTCAAAGATTTGAATTTCACAGCACACCAAAGATGTTAGCCAAACCTTTAGTTGTGGCCTCTTATTCCGGCGAGTCTCACATGCTTCGCAGCTGCTGAACCCATTGCTGCCCCTATCCGAGACTGTGCCCAACTCGGTGCACGGGCATCCACATGCACGCCCAAAGCAGGCGGCTCGTCCACTGTCTGCTCTCAACGTAGGCCCGAGTGGTACCATTGTCATCCCAAAAGGTCAGAGGTACTACATTAACAACCAACTCTCCTTTACCTGTATTTGCAGCTTCAAGCGACTAGGCAAGCTCTCTGTGTCGACGGAACTTATGGGACAACAAGGGGGAAATTATCCACCTGCAGGGCATCACCGGTGCCAGCATCACTGGTTTCAGAGTGATAAATGGCAATGCTCAGGCAAGCTGAATGTCTTCTGAATGACACCCTTTGCCAAGTTCAGTGAAGAGAATCAGGAATCAGACTAGGTGGACAAGACAAGGGGATTAGAATGTCAGCAACACATCCTATAACCGTCCATTTTTGTCCCGCGTTGATAGTTCCACCAGTATGAAGATGAGTGGAATTAATATCAAAAATGCACACAGTTTCCATGTTGTGACCAGCAGCAACTCTCAGAACATTCTCTACTCTGGCCTAACGCTCTATTCCGTTAGCACCTCACTCATAACACTGACGGCTTGGACATTGGCCCGGCCTCGTTTGTGACAGTCCAATACACGCACATTACCAATAATGATAACTGCATTGCTCTCAAGCGCGGCACAAGTTACGTGAAAGCCACTGGTATAACCTGCGTTTGTTGCCACGGCCTGTCCGTTGGCAGTTTGGCGGGAAGTCAAGGCTGTCCGTTGGCAGTTTGGCGGGAAGTCAAGGCTCGGACGACATTGTAACGAGCAGCATCTTTATTAATTGCGAAATGAGGGCCTCAACAAAGGCAGCAGGCATAAAGTAACGGTCCAACACATGATACTGGAAGTGCCTCTAATGTCACCTGGTCGGCTCCCCTGTTCTGTTCTCGTCCTCCTACATCCGAAACATCCCAATGCTTGCTGTCAACACAATCAACGTATACTCATAGGAGAAAGGGGCACATTTCTTCATATTGACCATAATACACGACAAAATATATATATTTACACTGGCGCGCAAGCAAAATGCAGGGGAAGGAAATAATAGAGGAACCCGAAAAGCTTTCCGGATAATGTACATGGTGTCCGAAAAGGGAAAAAAGGTTGAACAAGGACATTGTTGTGTGGACAGAAACAGTGAATCTGGAAGAGAGAAGGGATCGCTGCCTATATACTGGAACATAACCAAAGATCGAACAATATCAATGAAAGTTAAACATTAGTCTCTCTGCCAGCCGGCTCTTCTTGGTTGGATGAAGGACGGTCAGCATTGTTATTGATCAATAGATCCATCTCAGAGTCGGCAGTGCTAGATATCTGGAAAACGCTCCATGATTATGAATTAGCGAAGGCGAGATACTTCATCGTATCAAAAGACCTCACCGGATTGAGAATTAAAAAGCCAGCCTCAAGTAGTAGCAGACATGCTGTGGTATGGCGTCTGCCGAGGAGACTATACAGGTACTCGAAAATCATTGGCTGCGGGTGGCGGCCTGGATTATAGGACGAACGATCTGCCGAGGGGATCACAATCGAGCATGGACCGCGGGAAGCGACGCGTATTTGTTCTTCGGGCATACCAGAGCTATTTTGATCGAGATAGTAGGCCCCCAGAAGTCAGAAACCTAAGTACCAAGAACCATGGACTCATGCGTTCCCCGTACATATGGAGGTGGAGGATTGTGCATACCAGACAGTAGGAATACTGCTCTTTCGGTTTGGTTCCACAACTGACAGAGCTGCTTGTGACGGTGGAGGCTGAATCATATACCTGCAATACAGGCAACGAAAAGAGCTACCAAAGTAATGATTGCTCTGCTGACAATGCCATTCAGAAGGAATTATGGAACTGATCTCTTATGGATCTCATGAATCAAGAATAAGGATGATTCACTAGTTCATACAGAGCAGGCACCTTACATACTCTAACCTGCACCCCTGTAAAGGCAGTTGTGAGCTCTACAAGCTGCATAAATGAAGCAGAGACCACAGCAACTTGGTAGCATAATAATGCAGAGACATCTTACTAGGTTATTTTTTTTCAGCATGTGTTATGATACTGTGTATTTAGTAAGTCACCCACTAAGTCGAGTCTCAGATAGCTGAACTGGACGGCCAATCAATCCAATGGCATCATGAGAGCAGGGTGTCAAAAAATAAAAAAAATATAGAAAAATATCTAAGGGAAAACAAAAGTATTGCACAAAAGAAAAAGACCCCAGATGGGCGCTTCTAGTTCTTCTTACACACGATATTGTTGTGAAGATGAATGTAAATGACTTTTGAGACTGACAGCCATGCTGAGGAGCGCGGGACAGATCAAGAATGCTTATATTTCAGCCACTATGCCAACCAGCGCTTATATGTTCTCCCTTACTTGAAGTTTCACTGGCAGTTTATGAGCACAGATAAATAAGGCTTGGGGAAATCACCGAAGTTAGACCAAAAAAATCGTCTGATCTGATCTGAGCTGTTCCGGCCCGATCCGAGTATGAAACGGTCCCAGAACTATTTGAAAAGGTTCCAGAAGACTATCTTATATTGAGGGGGAGAAAGACTAATATCAGGGACATAAACATCATAGAACCTACGCTATTGACTCCTGGGAGCTATGAGTCCTCGCCTCACCTGCACATGTTTTAAAATGGCTCACCAATATTAAGCTCAGCAACTGTCAACTCAGATACAAGACGTAGCGCAAGGAAGCAAAAGAAAAGTCGCTCTAGCCATGTAGACCACAATGCGAGGAAACACGTCCACTGCCAGTGTGGGCCCAAACGGGTGGGCTATGCTGTCTACTCCGCATAAAGGTAAATCCTTTGATCTATACGAAGCCCGGAGTGAGTCATTCTTGACTTACTCTATCGGGATCTCAAGCAAAACCCGTTATAAAGTAGTCTCTCCTGAGTCAAATTCTCTATAGACACTCAAATCAATCTGAATGAAAAACCTGTCTCGGCAGCCACTACCTTTCGAGAATAATCGTACAGGTTATCCTTCTATCTGGCAGATCTGGTGTCGGGAAAACTTCCATCGCAAACGAGACGTCCGAACAGCTAAAAATCCGTGATATCCCTCATGCCCATATCGATGGAGATAATCTAGATATGGTATATCCCGAAGAGGAGGCCCCGGTTTGCTACTCCTCAACCTTGAATCTATGTTCAAAAACTATTATCATCGCCCAGGATGCAGCAAACTCATCCTATCAGGAACTGCAATGGCTCTGGAGTACGAATCTATCCAAAATACTCTTCGAGCTGTCATCCAAGATTCTCTCCAATTCCCACGGGAGAGAGAACCTGCTATTGATCTCAGGGGGTTCATCTTGACAGCGACTGACAATACAGCCTCAGAGAGGCTACGAAAAAGAGAGATAGGCAGTTTACTGGACCAACATTTGGCGAGTAGCCTCCGAATGGCATCGGTACTGGAGAGTGAGGCTGGGGGATGGGCTTGTCGAATTTCGACGGATGGTCGGAACGTGAAGGATGTTGCGGCGCAAATTTCGGAGCAAGCAAAATGAGTCTAGAGAGCAGGGTTCTCTTCTTCCATGTAGATGTTAAAGATACCAATTGTAGTAATGATAAATTTTTAAATTAAGATTGGTGCATGTATGTTATCTTTCTATCTTCCTATTATGGGGGTGTGCTGTATGCATCAAGTAAAAGGTCAGACTAATCTGGTGATGTAAACAGGGAGCTGGAATAGTAATCAAAGACGGTGCTGCTCTGGCTGAATATCTTGGCTGGGCCTTGTCTGCTGAGATATCCTAAAACTTACATGGCCTTCTAGCAAATTCGCAATAACCGCGTTGAGTGGATTTGAGAAGGGGTGTTTGAAACTGGCAAGATCTGGCACATGGAGTATGGTCCCAAGCAGC